AGCCCAGAGTAAATAGAAGGAAATTATAAAGATCAGAGAAGAAATAAATGACATGGACACTAAAAAGACAATACAAAAAATCCATGAAATCAAGAGCTGGTTCTCTGAAAAGATAAACAAGATTGACAAACCTTTAACCACTCATCAAGAAAAAAAGAGAGAGGACCCAAATAAATAAAATCACATAGGAAAGAAGTAAAAACTGTCACCACAGAAATACAAAGGATTGTAAGAAAATACTATGAACAACTATATGCCAACAAACTGGACAATCTGCATGAAAATGATAAGTTTCTAGAAACATAAAATCTTCCAAAACTGAATCAGGAGGAATCAGAAAATCTGAATAAAGAATGAAATTAAAGCAGTAATAAAAAAAAAAAAAAAAAAAACTCCCAACAAACAAGAGTCCTGGACCAGATGGCTTCACAGGAAAATTTTTACCAAACATTCAAAGAGGAACTAACACCCATCCTTCTCAAATTACTCCAAAAACTTCAAGAGGAGGAAAGACTCCCAAGTTCAATTTATGAGGCTAGCATTATCCTAATTCTAAAACTACAAAAGACACTACAAGGAAAGAAAATTACAGGCCAATATTCCTGATGAATATAGATGCTAAAATATTACCAAACCAGATCCAACAATACATGAAAAAGATCACCCACCAAGATGGATAGGGATTTATTCCAGGGATGCAAGGTTGGTAAAATATCCACAAATCAATAAATGTGATACAGCACATAAACAAAATGAAGGATAAAAATCATATGACCATACCAAGAAATGCAGAAAAAGCATTTTATAAATCCAGCACCCATATACGATAAAAACTCCAAGCAAAGTGGGAATAGAGGGCATTTACCTCAGCTTAATAGAGGCCATATATGTATGACAAACCCATAGCCAACATCATACTCCATAGGTAAAAATTACAAGCATTTCCCTTAACACCAGGAAAAAGACAGGAATGTCCGCTTTTACCACTCTTATTCAACATTAGAGGCCCGGTGCATGGATTCGTGCACCAGTGGGGTCCCTCAGCCTGGCCTTGGCCCTCTCACAATCTGGGACCCCTCAGGGGTTGTCGGATAGCCAGTTTCAGCTCAATCCCTGCAGGCCCGATCCAGATGGGAAGGAGCCCGATCCTGTGTGTTGAGCGTCTGTCCCCTGGTGGTCAGTGCATGTCATAGCAACAGGTCGACCAGTCGTTAGGTCGCTTAGGCTTTTATATATAGACTAGAGGCCCGGTGCACAAAAATTTGTGCACTGCGGGGAGGGGGGGGGTCCCCCAGCCCAGCCTGTGCCCTCTTGCAGTCTGGGACCCCTCAGGAGATAACAACCTGCTGGCTTAGGCCTGCTCCTGGGTGGCAGAGGGCAGGCCCAATCCCTAAGTGCAGCCCCTGGTCGGGCTCAGAGCAGGGCTGATTGGGGAGTTGGGGCGCCGCCCCCTGTCACACTCAAGGCAGGGTCGATGGGGAGGTTGCAGTGACACCCCCTGTCACACACAGAGCAGGGCCAATCAGGGGGTTTGGGCGCTGCCCCCTGTCACGCTGATCCCGGTGCCGGGAGCCTCGCTGCTCCACTGATTCCGGTGCCAGGAGGCATATTACCCTTTTACTATATAGAACAGAGGCCTGGTGCATGGGTGGGGGCTGGCTGGTTTGCCCTGAAGGGTGTCCTGGATCAGGGTGGGGGTCCCCACTGGGGTGCCTGGCCAGCCTGGATGAGGGGCTGAGGGCTGTTTTCCTGAAGTGAGTGACTGAAGCTCCCAACTGCTCCTTGTTTTCTGTTTTGTTTTGTTTTAATTCTGGGCCAGCTTTAGCTCTGAGGCCTCGCTGCTGAAAACATCGATACAATGTTGCGGTCTGGCTGGATGAATCCCGGCTGAATGAAAGCCGGTTTCTGGGGTTTTGTTTAGCTTCTTATTTGCAACATAGTATATAGTTGCTTAGAGTTGCAGCTGAGAGGCCGGCAAGTTAGGCGGGGAACGTTGGAGTCCTCAGTCACTGGAGCAAGCAAGCCTCCCTGCTCGCTTCAGTGCATGGCTGCCGGCTGCCATCTTGGCTGACAGTTAATTTGCAGAAGGATATGCTGATTAGCCAATGGGAAGGGTAGCGGTCGTACGCTAATTACCATGTTTCTCTTTTATTAGTGTAGATGGTACTGGAAGTCCTAGTGACAGCAACCACACAAGAAGTAAAAAATAAAAGGCATCCACATTGAAAAGGAAAAAGTAAAACTGTCATCATTTGCATATGACATGATACTATACAGAGAGAACCCTAAACTGCCGGGAGCCGGTCCATCCTTGCTGTTTCAAGGGACCTGGCGTATATGGCATACTGTTCTTAATATGTTTGCTCCCCTTCTTGGCGCCATGTGTTTTAACCAAGGTCACCTCTCCGAGAAAGGTTGTTTCCCCAGGTGGGGATCTTTCCCTGAGGTTAGGGAGGGGATACAACCCCTTAATCAAGTGCCAGGCGGGTGGTTAAGCTACATAATCTTTACTCCCTGGAATGGAGATAAGAAACGCCCTAACCTTTGTAATAGAAACTGACAGGATTAAAATGGCTGGTATAAATACGGATGTAACAAGACAATAAACAACACAACCTGATCAGATCATCATCAGAACCTCGTCAGATCCTAACCAGAACCTAGCCAGAGAACATGGCAAAAGATCCTGGACAGAACCTGGCTACAGAACTTCACTGGAGAACCTAGACAGAACATGGCAAAAGAACCTGGTGACTGAACCTGGCTGGAGAACCTGGAGAACCTGGCCGGAGAACCTAGCGAGAGAACATGGCATCAGAACTTGGTTGGAGATCCTGGAGGGAGAACCTCGCTATGCTGATGAACTGAACCCAGTTTCCATGTCATTCATTCTTCGCCGGCTCCGTCCACACTTTGGGGATCCCTGGACCGTTGGGGTTGGACCCCAACACTAAACATTTCACCAAAAGACTACTGGAAATGATAAATAAATTCAGTAAAGTAGGAAGATACAAAATATTCAGAAATCAGTTATATTTTTATACATCAATAATGAACTATCAGAGAAGAAAACTAAGAAAACAATTCCATTTAGAAGTGCATAAAAAAAATACCTTGGAATAAATTTAACCAACAATGTAAAAGACCTGTATTCAGAAAATTATAAGACACTGACAAAAGAAACTGAAGAAGATACAAATATGTGTAACATATACCATAATCATAGATAAGAAGAATTAAAATAATTAAAATGTCCATGCTATCCAAAGCAGTTTACAGATTCAACACAATTTCTATCAAGATACCAATGGCATATATTTCACAGAACTAGAATATTCCAAAAATATATGGAACCACAAAAGACCCCAAATAGCCACAGCATTCTTGAAAAAGAAGAACAAAGTTGGAGGGATCATACTACCTGTTATCAAAATATTCTAAAAGGCCATAGTAATCAAAACAGTATGGTACTGCCATAAAAACAGACATATAAATCAATGAATCAGAACAGAGAGCCCAGAAATAAACCCATGCCTTTATGGTCAATTAATATTTGACAAAGAAAACAAGAACATACAATGGACAGATAATGTGCAAAAAAATGAAACTAGACCATCTTACACCACACACAAGAATAAATTCAAAATGTAATAAAGACTTAAATGTAAGACTCAAGATCATAAAAATATTAGAAGAAACATAGGTAGTAATATCTCAGACATTTCTCATAACAATATTGTTTCTGATATATCTCCTCGGGCAAGGGAAACAAATGAACAAATAAACAAATGGGACCTCAAACTAAAAAGTTTTTGCACAACAAGGAAACCATCAACAAAATGAAAAGACAACCCACTGAATCGGAGAACATATTTGCTAATGATACACTTGATAGTGATATATTTGATACCCAAAATTTATAAAGAACTTATAAACTCAACACCAAAATAACAAACAATCCAATTAAAAAATGACCAAAAGAATAGACACTTCTCCAAAGAGGAAATACAAATGACCAATAGACATATGAAAAGATGCTCAATGTCACTAATCATTGGAGAAATGCAAATTAAAACCACAATGAGAGATTGCCTCACACTTGTCAGCATGGCTAACATCAATAAATCAACAAACAATAAGTGTTGGTGAGGATGTGGAGGAAAGGGAACCCCCATACACTGTTTGTTGGTAGGATTGGTACAGCCACTGTGGAAAACAGTATGGAGTTTCCTCAAAAAATTAAAAATGGAAGTGCCTTATGACCTAGCAATTCCACTTCTTGGAATATATCCAAAGAAACCCGAAATACTAATTTGAAAAAATATATGCACCCATACATTCGCAGTGCTACTTTTACAAAAGCCAAGACTTGGAAGCAGCCCAAGTGCCCATTAGTAGATGAGTGGATAAAGAAGCTGTGGTACATTTACACAATGGAATACAACCTGGCCTTAAAAAAAGGAGAAAATCTTATCTTTTGTGATAGCACTGATGGACCTGGAAAGTATTATGCTAAGTGAAACAAGCAGTCAGAGAAAGACAAGTACCATATGATTTCATTTATATGTGAAATCTAATAAACATAAGAAACTAAGAAACAAAGTAAATGCAGACTCATAGATAAGAGAACAGACTGACATCTGTCAGAAGGAAGGGAGGTTTGGAGGCTAGGTGAAAAAGATGAAGGGATTAAGCAAAGGAAAAAAACTCATAGACAATTAAAAGTATGGTGCTTGCCAAAGGGAAAGGGGAGTTGGGAGAAGTAAGAGAATTAAAGGGGGATTAATTGTATTGGAAGAAGACATGACTAGGGATGGTGAACACACAATACAATATACAGATGATGTTCTGTAGAATCATATACCTGAAACCTATATAATTTTATTAACCAATGACACCCCAATAAATTCAATTTTTAAAAAACAGTAGAGTACTCAAAAAAATAAGTAAGAAGACATAAGCAAACAACATAAAGATTTATAGAATCATTTATAAAATACCTGTGGGTTACTCCCTCCATTCGAGATATAACACTTGGTGAGTTTTCCTCCATCATCCCAGTCCCAATCATCATCATCATCATAATCTTCCTCCTCTTCTCCCTCATCTTCTATCTCATCTTCATTCATCTTCTCATTCACATTATTTTGCAAGTCTTCAAACAGATTGCCATCTCCCTCTTTGATTGTCTTCAAGTCAATGTTTTCACTAGAAATAACAATATTTTAGCATATTTAAACATACTCTAATTAGACTTACATATGTATTTATTCACAACATAATAGACTAAATCTGTAACAATAAAAGCCAAAGGTTCCCTTACAATATATCTGCCAATGAACTTAATTTTAGTACCAAGTTCTTCTGTTTTTCAGAGTTCTGTCCCAGTTGTCTACATATTCTCTAGGCCAGGGGTAGGCAAACTTTTTGACTCGAGGGCCACAATGGGTTCTTAAACTGGACCGGAGGGCCGGAACAAAAGCATGGATGGAATGTTTGTGTGAACTAATATAAATTCAAAGTAAACATCATTACATAAAAGGGTACGGTCTTTTTTTTTTTTAGTTTTATTCATTTCAAATGGGCCAGATCTGGCCTGCAGGCCGTAGTTTGCCCACGGCTGCTCTAGGCCCTACTAAAGAAGTACATCAGGTGTTAAATCTACCTCTGCCTAAGTCAGAATTTATATTGCTAACTTCTCTGCTGAAAGAACTGGCTCCAATCAATACTCCAGACCTGACTAGGAAAACTACTTACAGAGCTGCTTTAAAAGAGAGTAAAAAAAAAAAAAGCACCACAAATAAGAAAGTAGGCTTGATATAATTACACAGAAGAAGGGATTGATGCCCAGAGTAAAGAAAGCACAACTAATAGGGTTTGTTTTTGTCATGTGAGAATTCAGACCCAGGGTTACATATCTTCTTAGTTTTTCAAGAGAAACCAGGAATATGGATTTTTGTGTAAAATATCCCACTTAATTGGCAAGTTCAACTTATCAAAACACTGTGCTTATCAAACAAAACATGTCTGCACGTCAGATTTTACAGAGGTGCTACCAGTTTTGACTTTTCATGTAAAGAATGAGGACAGAAACCATATAAAACAATTGATAATATACACTACCAGCTTAAAAAGTCAGATGTGAGTTTAAATAAATTCAGATTATCAATTCTGAGTTATTTATTAATCACTAGGAGCCAAGCGCACGATTGCCCACCCACCTTCAGCCCTGCTTTGACACCCAAATCTGTTCATGCAGAGCTCCAGCGCACCTGGCCCAGCCCCCAAACCCTCTGGCCTTCCCTGGCTGCTTCAAGCCCTGACCTCAGTCCCTCCAGTCGCCTCTGGCTGGTCCCAGCTTCCGCCCTGTCCCCACTTCCGCCCGTCTCCAGAGCAACGCAGCGGATCCGCCCCCGTCATGAGGAGAGCGTGGAAGCCTCCCGCCTGCTGCGCTGTGCTCCTTCCCCTGGCAGGTGGGCCGTGGGACACGCAGAGTGCAAGCAGTGGGTGGTGAAGGACTGGTGAGGGGGGCGCTAGGAGCTCTCACCCCTGCCCTCCCTGGCACGGGATGGTCCTGCCTCCTCCAGGTGCCTCCCCACTTCCGCCCATCTCTGGAGCAACGCCCAAGCTATATGTTAATGACGTGGTCGTTACCCGTTACAGCATCCCGCTCGTTAGCATATTAACCCTTTACTAGTATAGTAATTTGTGCATTCGGGGGTGTCCCTCAACCCTGCCTGTGCCCTTTCGCAATCTGGGACCCCTCGGGGGATGTCCACCTACTGGCTTAGGCCCGCTCCCCGGGGGTATTGGGCCTAAGCTGGCAGTCAGACATCCCTCTGGCAGCCCAGGAGCCCTCGGGGGATGTCCACTTGCCAGCAGGGAGCAGGCCTAAGCTGCAGTTAGACATCCTTAGCACTGCTGAAGAGGTGGAAGAGGCTCCCACCACCACCGCTGTGCTGGCAGCCGGCAGCCTGGCTTGTGGCTGAGCGGAGCTCCCCCTGTGGGAGTGCACTGACTCCTGCATTGAGCGACTGTCCCCTGGTGGCCAGTGTGTGTCATAGTGACCAGTCATTCCCAGTCGTTCTGCTCTTAGGGTCAATTTGCATACTACCCTTTTATTATATAGGATAGAGGCCTGGTGCACGGGTGGGGGACAGCTGGTTTGCCCTGAAGGGTGTCCCGGATCGGGGTCCCGCTGGGGTGCCTGGCCAGCCTGAGTGAGGGGCTGAGGGCTGTTTTCAGGCTAGCCACATCCCCTTCAGGGTGGGGGTCCCCACTGGGGTGCCTGGCCAGCCTGGGTGAGGGGCTGAATGTCTGTCTGCATGCTGGCCAAGCCCCCCAGCAGGAACCCTCACCCCATGGGAGTGTGGCCAGCCTGGGTGAGGGGCTGAGGACTGTTTTCAGGCTGGCCACACCCCCTTCAGGGTGGGGGTCCCCACTGGGGTGCCTGGCCAGCCTGAGGGCCGTTTTCAGGCTGCCCACAGCCCCTTCAGGGTGGGGGGTGGGGGGTCCCACTGGGGTGCCTGGCCAGCCTGGGTGAGGGGCTGATGGCCGTTTTCAGGCTGGCCACGTCCCCCAGCGACCCAAGCTCCCAGCCTCTCTTTTTTTTTTTGTTCAGCTCCTCCTTGAGCGGAGGCCAGGGCGGGCTGGAAGCAGGTATCTGGGATTTATTTATCTTCTATAATTGAAACTTTGTAGCCTTGAACGGAGCCCAGGGCCAGCCAGGGTAGGCGGGAAGCTTGACTTCCTCCATCTCCGGGGCAACCCAAGCCTCCTGCTTGCTCCAGCTCTGTGGCCTCTGCCATCTTAGTTGGGTTAATTTGCATACTCGCTCCTGATTGTTTGGTGGGCGTGGCTTGTGGGTATAGTGGAGTGGCAGAGTGATGGTTAATTTGCATGTTTCTCTTTTAATAGTTTAGATGGTTTACAGAGCTCCAAATCTTTATTGAACAAATAGTCATTAAACACCTACTATTTACTAGGATTTCATAAACATAATCCATAAGTTGACCCTTCATTTGCTAATAACCTAGAATGGCATGTTAAAGTTATACCTTCAATAGTACTGGGGCTTCTCAACCTTGGCTAGACAATTCTTTGTTGTGGGAAGTTGTTTTGTGCCTCATAGGACTGTTGGCAGCATCTCCAGCCTCTACCTACCAGATGCTACTAGTTCAGCACCATCCCCAGTTGTAAGAAACAAAAATGTCTCCAGAAATTGCCAAAGTCACTGGGGGTGGGGAAAGGGGAAAGGTGGTGGACAGAATCCATTGGTTTACCTTTATAATATCCAGTGATAGATATTTCCCCTTAACTTCTTCCCTTGGGCCTTTTATATTCTTATGTGTAAACATAAATCTGGAATGTCTTTCTCAATTCTCTGGCTAAATCCTACTTATCCTTACAGCATTAGTTTACTATCACTTGCTTAGGGAAATCTTCCGTATTATTCACCCGTTTCTCCTTTGTACTACTTACCCAATTCTAATCCAAATCTTTTGTCTAATTTTTTAAAATACATATTTTTATTGATTTCAGAGAGGAAGGGAGAGAGATAGAAATATCAATGATGAGAGTCATTGATCGGCTGCCTCCTATTGGGGATCGAGCCCACAACCCAGGCATGTGCTCTGACCTGGAATCCAACCATGACTTCCTGGTTCATAGGTCGCTGCAAAACCAATGAGCCAGGCTGGACCAGCCGATTTGTCTAATTTTTTAATGTTTTCCCTGCTAGAGTGCAATCTCGGTGTCAGAGTAGTTTACACCAATGTATCCCTACCAACTAACACTATATCTGACACATAGAAAGTGATCAACATATACTTACTGAAAAAAATCTATAGTTAAGAAAATTGCCGAAACCGGTTTGGCTCAGTGGATAGAGCGTCAGCCTGCGGACTGAGGGGTCCCGGGTTAGATTCCGGTCAAGGGCATGTACCTGGGTTGCGGGCACATCCCTGGTGGGAGATGTGCAGGGGGCAGCTGATCGATGTTTCTCTCTCATCGATGTTTCTAACTATCTCTCTCCCTTCTTCTCTGTAAAAAATCAATAAAATATAAAAATAAAAAAAAATAAAAAAAAATAAAATTTACATGCAATGAAGCCTTACTATAAACATAAAGTAAAAATCATTTTGTTGAAATTCTAAGTTTCATTTTGCTTTATGTGAAAGTTATCCTTAATAACTTTTGCTTCATATCCCACATTCAATCTACCACCAAATTGTCATTTCTATCTGTAAAATATCTCTATGACCTTATCTCTAAATGTCCATAATCTCTGAACTAAATTATTTTTATTACTTTTGTACTGCTCCCACTCTGCATTCCAAAATCATCTTCTCCATAGCAAAGTGATTCCTTTAAGTCATAAATCAGATTACATCATTCCCCTGCTAGCATCCCTCTATGGCTTTCTAAGCCCTAGAATATCTCAACTCCTTACCATCACTTGTAAGGCTCTACATCAAGCATGTCAAACTCGTGGCCCTCGGGCTGCATGTGGCCCACAACGAGTATTTTTGCAGCCCAGCCAATATAATGGTAAGTAAGAAACGTGTTAATTAAAATTTTGTAACTTACTTTTTACAATATCCTGTTATACATAATTATTAATAATGAACTACAGTAGGTCCTCAGGTTACGTCGGAGATCCGTTCCTACAGCGCGACGTCACGCGATTTTCGCCGTAAGTCAGAACCCACCTACATAAGCACCTATGTCACTCACATGGAGCACATACACAGCAGTAATGCAGTGAAACAGTAAAAAAAAATTTAAAAGAAAGATAACAATTCCTGACCTTTACTTGTGGTAAATAAATAATAAAAAACATAAAGCACATATGTACATACGTCAAAATGACGGAACTTTTTTTTTTTTATAAATAAATGGGAAATGGCGAGGTAACCACGAAACGAGATACATCGAGTCCGAGGTAACCCGAGGACTGTCTGTACAATGTTCACTAATGACTGATTACTATAATCTTGTTGCATTCATTTCCCTTACCCGCCTTACGTGCAGGAGCACCATTTCTCTCCACTAATACTAACAGCAAATATTTTAGTGGCCGATTGCCATGGCAAAAAGTTCAATCATTATTTGGTGTGCACAACAGGAAATATTTCGCTTTTGGAGAACAAGAAAAATAGGTTTATTTGTGTTATGCTTATCAATTTGTGCAGTTATTCAGTGTCTGGTAAGTTAATGTTCAAGAAAAAATGTTAATTTTTATTAAAATGTTGTATTATTTTATGTTAACTAGAGGCCCGATGCACAAAATTCATGCACTTGTGGGGGTGGGGGGGAGTCTCTCAGCCCGGCCTGTGCCCTCTTGCAGTCCGGGAGCCCTCGGGTGATGTCTGACTCCTGGGGTGGAAGTGGGAGAGGCTCCCGCCACCGCCACTGTGCTCGCCAGCTTCTGGCTGAGCGGGGCTCCCCATGTGGGAGTGCACTGACCACCAGGGGGCAGCTCCTGCATTGAGTGTCTGCCCCCTAGTGGTCAGTGTATGTCATAGCTAGCGGTTGAGCAGCCTCAGCATATCATTAGCATATTTTGCTTTGATTGGTTGAACAGACACCTAGACAACCAAACACTTAGCATATTAGGCTTTTATTAAATAGGATTACTCATTTATCTCAGCCCTCTGTACTCAGCATGTCTCTATCGAAATAAACCTACATTTCTATGAAAATTGAAGCTTTTGTTTTTTTGTGGCCCACATAAACTTAAACCTTTTTTATTTGGCCCATGTTAGCCTTTGAGTTTGACACGCTTGCTCTCCATCATCTGGCCCTTTTCACTTCTATATCATTACCTACCAATCTGCTCAACTACCTCTGCTGTGCTCTAAGCACAATGGCCTATCAGTGGTTCTCAACCTTTTGGCCCTTTAAATACAGTTCCTCATTGTTGTGACCCAACCATAAAATTATTTTCATTGCTACTTCATAACTGTAATGTTGCTACTGTTATGAATCGTAATGTAAATATCTGATATGCAGGATGGTCTTAGGCGACCCCTGTGAAAGGGTCGTTCCACCGCCAAAGGGGTCGCGACCCAGGGGTTGAGAACCTCTGGCTAGATAGATCTTCCTTTCACAGCCAGGAGGGATCCCACCCTGGGGACTTAGCACTTGCTGTCCCCTCTTCCTGAATTGCTGTTGTCTCCCCTTTTCCTGAGGTTAACTCATTCTTGTAAGTCAGATCTGGACTTAACCCCTCCTTGACCAAATCATAACTTAAGTCTACAAACTGACTTAAATTGTTTGCATAGTATATATAATTATCTGGTTTTTAAATAATACCTCTTTGTACTTAATTGTCTGCTCCACCTCTCAAGTAGAAGGTAAAATTCAATGACAGGGACTCAGTTTGCCTTGTTCATCACTACCTCCAGCGCTGAGGACAGAACCTGGCACATAGCAGGTGCTCACCTTACTGTCAACATAAAGTAAGAACCGTTTTTAAACGCTGAATTAAGTTACCAGTAAGGTGCAAAAACCTGTTTCCCAATCGCTATGCCCAACTCGGCCTCTCAGCAATGCCAACCAACCTGGGAACCCTGGACTCCCCTGACAAGCGGCTTTCGTGAACTCTGCCATAATCTGGGACGGAAATCAGGGCTGGGATGGAGAAAGACGCGAAAGGCTGGGAAGAGAGCCCCGGCGCGATGCACCACCAGCCTCCCTCTACACCAGCGTTAACTCCCTCAAGGCCCGGCGGCGGCAGAGAGAGCAAAACCCCAACAAAGTCGGTGTACTGCACCGCCTTCTACCTGTCGGAGGAGTCCGCGTCGTCGAACTGCCCGGGAACCACCCGACTCATCAGCAGCCGCCGGTAGTCCATGACGGCACGCGCGGGGCGTCAGCGCCACCAGAGGAGCCACACAGACGGTCCAACCTCACGGCCTCTCCGAGGTCGTCCGCCTCGCAAACCGCGCTGCAGTCCCGATGCCAAAAGCGCGCCACGTGCTACAAGGATTTAGGATTTACAGACCCGGTACCGCCGCCCCCGGATCGAACGGAAGCCCCGCCCCCACCGGAAATGTTCTACCGGAAGTCCCGTCCCGCGGCCCACTGAGAGCCTGCGCACGGAGGACACACGGAAGTGTCAAGCGGTTCGCCTTCCTCGTTGGGCCCGCCATCCCACCTGGAGGCTTTCGTTTCTGTGTGTCTTTCTGTAGAAAGGCGCGCCAGCCAAGCCACAGGTTCGGCCTGGGGGGTTACATCCGCATGACTTCCCACTCTGGTAACAGACTTCGGAGTCCCCAGGCCCGGGCCCCTGGGGCCGGAGCCCGGCGTGCGCCGTTCCCCGCCGGGATTGGCTGGCGCGGCGGGGGCGAGCGGACGTCACACTGGAACGGTTCGTTGCGCTTGCCTCCCGACGGGGGATTTCGTAGGAAAGGTTGGAAAGTGTTCTTCTCCCTCCCGCAAAACCGGTGCGGGGGGGTGGAGCACGAGATCCTTATTGTGGGTATAAGAAACTGCTTGGACCCTGGAAGTGAGCACGCTTTTGCGATTCAAAGAGTTTGGCGCGTTGTTTTGAGGTGAAAATGAGAAGTGCTTGTAGAAAGCTGGTTTGTCATAACGGCTGAAAAGAATTTAAGAACAAAACCTTAGAGTTTTGACTAGTAACTCCACTGACACCTCTTTTTTCATTTTTTTTTTTTCCTGCATTACTCTCTCAATTATTTCGTGCGGATCCCGCCCCCTCGGTCTCCGCGGCGCTAAGAGGCTGGGCCGGGTGGTGCGGGGTTGGGGCGCCGGAGAGGCGGGGCTCGGACCCGAGAGGAGACGCCCCTGCGGCCACCCCCTCACTTTCTTCCCGCGAGATCCAGTGACACCTCTTTTGACGCCGGTCTTTAAACAGCTTTAGAATATCTCTGGAAACATTTGAATAAATATTTTAAAAGTTTAACGTACATCCGGTAAGATCGGAATGCAAGATGGTAAAAGTAAGCCTAACAAAATAAATCGGCGGATTGTGCCCTATGAACAAAGGTGTAAACGTGTAATTGGAAGTTCTAGGTTCCCAAATTTAAGAGATAAGGCCCTTGCAGTTTTTGCATTTGGAAATTAACGATTTTTCAAACTCCCTTCACCACAACCTAGGCAATATTTATGTGTTTGGAAATAGGGAAAAATTGAGCATAAAGTTGAGCCATTCACCAATCCTGACTAGCCTGCTAGGCTCAGTGGCTTTTTTATCCTTAACCAAAGGATGATGTAAGTTTGAAAAACACTAATCCTCAATAAATTACTTATTAATTTGATAATTCAACAAAGTAAACCAGGCAAATGGTAGTGACTGTAGATTGGGAAGGTTTAATAGAAATAAATAATTGGAATGCTGGGTTAAATTAATAATTATCCTGGACAACACTGGTCCATTTGCTGTAGGGAGTATTGTAGAACATAAATGGACTCTTCTAGAAGTATGTGTAATCTGAATATAAACACTAACACGTTTGGAACAATGGTTAAGACTAAAACAGTAAAACGAATAGGTATTTAATTATGAGAGACTTAGACTAAAGATATTAGGAATTTAAAAAATAGGTAAGTGGTTAGATAGGAAAGTTTAGGAGAGAGAAACGCTTTCAAGGACAGACTACTGAAGTGGTAAGGAGCATGACCTATTTGCAGGAAAGTGAACTTGATCCTACTGGAGCAGGGGAGTATTGGCTAGGTAAAGTGGGTTCAGGCTATGGAAGACATAGAAAGTCAAGCAGAAGAATTTGAAGTCAGTGTGATTGGACATCTTTTCCATCCCCACCCCCTAACAGACTTGAGGAATTATAAGAATATGGACCAGAGTAATGATCTAAGGGATGGAAAGAAAGCATGGGTTATGAAAATCATTTTTAAAGGAAAAATGGACAGGACTTAGACAATGAGGTAGAAGGATGCCAAGTTTTCAAACCCCAAGTGCCTGAGGGAACATTGATTTACAATGTTGGATTTGACTTGATAAAGAAATATTCAAATAGCAATTATTAAGTAAATAGAAATGCAGTCAGTGTTTGGTGGAACCTAATAGGTCTCTGATAATATTTTGTGAATATCTTTTGATTAAATAACTTAGAGATCCCTTCACCTTCTGGGTCGCAAGTCTTTTCGGTAATTTTCTTTTGTCCAAATTATTTACTACCATACAAAGTTACCATGGTATGGTATACTCTAAAATTCTTTATTTTTTCAATAACTTAGCAAATGATATTTTAAAATTTAGGGCAGTGAACTTTACTGCTTTCTTATTGTGCAAAGGGAGGGGGGAAGTTTTTTGTTTGCATATGCTAAAAGACCTTAAAATTATGTGTTTTTTTAAAGAAGCCTTCCATCATTCAACAGTTAGGAACAAGAAATATCAAAAAATTTGGTGATCACCTTCAGATCCTGTATAATTTGACATGGATGTTTCTCATGAAAAATTAGAAAGCATGTCAGAAGTGGATGCCATGAATTTCACCGGTCTTTCTCAAGATTTCACTCACTCAAATTCTCCCTCCTATATGGAAACCAGCAATACGACTTCAGACTTGTCTCAGGTGTGCATTGCTTATGAGGTCTGGGAGATACAGATGCATTTAGCATTCACATTGTGTTCCGTATGAACATTTTTTTTAAAAAAAATATGAGGAACAGCCCTAGCTGGCTTGGTTCAGTGGGTAGAGCATCAGCCTGTGGACAGAAGGATCCTGGGTTCGATTCCAGGCATTTACCACGGTTGCAGGCTCGAGCCCAGGCCACTCATGCAGGAGGCAACCAATAGACTGTCTCTCTCACATTGATGTTTCGTTTTCTCTGTCTTCCTTCTTCCCTTCCACTCTTTCTAAAAATCAATGGAAAAATAGCCTCAACAAATATACAAAGAACAATAAAGGAATCTCCAGTGGAGGCATAGAAGAGAGGAATGGTGGAACTGGTTTTCAAGAAAGGTAGAACTTTACAAACAGTGTTAAAACTGATCCTTTCTAGTCTCTTCATGAAGTCCCATGAGTATACCAGAAGACATAGCCACAACAACTACGTTAGAGAACAAGAACACAAGGAGCCTGACATCTGGTCTATTTTCATTTTGGAAAAAATTTGGTCATAGTATTATGATGTTAATTTGGAATAAGTTGCTGTGTACTGACTTGTAAAGAATGAATGTTTTAATTACTTATATAAGGAAGTCCTCCCTCTTTTTTTAATAGAAAATTTATAGACTAAAGGCTTAGTTTAGCTAAAAACAGTAATATTGTGTAAGACAAGAATTAGAAGTGATCTTTGAAATTCAATGAGTAATGGAGTACCAAGAAGTTTGTATGAATATAACATCAATACATGTGAATATTGCTATTTTATTTTTCAAGTATTTTATTCCTGATACTTTAAAAATCTAATTAGAAGGAATGATCTGAATTAGCAACAAGTAAAAAAAAAACATAGTTATATAATTCAGTTTTTATTGTACTTCAGGTACATTCAATAAGTGGAACGATGCTATAAAAAGCATATTGAATAGAAATTTGTAACCAGCTAACTTTATAAGAGAGAAGAACTTTTTTAAAGCGTCATTTAGATCCACATACTTGATATACTAACAAAAACTACATAGCAATGTACATATACCTTTAGGAGAGGCCAATGGTATTTGAAGTATTCATAATGCCTTTTTTATTATTAATACAGAATGAAATAAAGAATGTAAAAAAGGAAAATGAGTCTAAAATCACACTTTCTGAAGAAATTTATAGCACACTGGATGATGTGTTAGGTGGTGAGTATCTCTTTGTTGGCAATATATAAACAGAAAATAAGATTTTTTGTGTGTCCTGTGATGATGATAATAATAAGAGCTAAGTACTGTGCAAAGCATTTTATATACATTATCACATTTATAAACAAGCCTATGGAATAGGACTTTTACTTCTTTGTAAATAAGGGCTGTTTTTATCTTCATTTTAAAGATGAGGCTCAGAGAGTAACACAAGAAATACAAACCATAATATATTTGACTATATTAAATTTTTAAAAATTTGTGTGTCCAAATTATAATCAAAGTAAAAAAGCAAGCCACAGTCTAAGATACCTGTAATGTATACAATCGACAGAGGATTAGTATCTACAATAAAGAACTCCAATAAGAAAAAGACACATATAACTCAATTTAAAAAACAATAACAAAAAAAACAACAACAGGCAATGTATATGTAGAGCTGCCATAACGAAATACCACAGACTGGGTGGCTTCAGCAATTCAAATTTATATTCTCACAGTTCTAGAGCAGTGGTTCTCAGCCTTCTGGCCCTTTAAATACAGTTCCTCATGTTGTGACCCAACCATAAAATCATTTTCATTGCTACTTCATCACTGTAATGTTGCTACTGTTATGAATCATAATGTAAATATCTGATATGCAGGATGGTCTTAGGCGACCCCTGTGAAAGGGTTGTTTGACCGCCAAAGGGGCCGCGACCCACAGGTTGAGAATCACTGTTATAGAGGCTGGAAGTCCAAGATCAAGTTCCTGCAGAGTAGGTTTCTCCTGAGGCCTCTCAGTTGGCCATCATCTTGTCCTCACATGGCCTTTACTTCTGTGCCTCCCTGGTATCTCCTCTTTTTATAAGGACACCAGTCATATTGTAGTAGAGCCCCACCCTTATGACCTCTTCTATCATTAATTACCTCCTTAAAGGCCCTATCTCTAACTAATATGACATTCTAAGATACTGGGATTAAGCCTTCAACATGTGAATTTTAAGGAAATGATTTCATTCCTAACAGTATCTAAGAGGCAGATCACAGAAAAAGAAACCTACAAGACCTTTAATACCTAAAAAGATGTGCATTAAAAAGACCACAAAATGCCATTTCATATGTATCAGTATGACATGTTGGAGAGATGTAGAGAAGGAATTTCTATGTCCTGGTAGAAGTATAAATAACCATTTTAGAGAATAAATGTGCAATATCTAGTAAAGTTGAAGATATATTTTTTCTATAATATATTTCTTTTTTTTTAAATATATTTTATTGATTTTTTACAGAGAGCTTAACACATAAATTTATGGTCAGCTAATTATTATTTTCTTTTACCTCTTTCTAATGAGATGTCAACAGTGGAAATTATTCACAGGATATGCTAACTCGTGCCAATTGACACCAGCATTTCTTCCTTCAGACAATGTGAACCCATTTTCAAATATCATCAGACAAAAGCATTTAATGATAAAATGCTAACATTTCAAAATTTGATAGGCAACTTACCTTACACAGAGAAGCCAGAATTGCAAAGTCATGTTTATAATTATGCAAAAGACAGCAATATTAAGGAAGATTCATTTAAAGAAGAAAATCCAGTGGGAACTAGTACTTCCACAAATGAAGACCAACTTTCTCATGAATATGAATGGCAACCTCCTAGAAGCCCATCTGAAATCCACTGCAGTAGAGAGACACTGAAATTCATGGAAATGCCACTAGCTGAAAATACTGCCAAAGAATCTACCCTCAACTCTGGTCAACCTGAAAACTTCTTGTGTAAGGAATATTTATACAACAATGTTGAAAAACCATTTTATCAAGAGAATAGCTTTAACCTGTATGATCTGAGAGCTGATTATGAAACAAAGGAGGTAAGATTATTTTTCTCTTTCCTTCCTTCCTTCGTTCCTTCCTTCCTCATTCTTATTTCCTTCCTTCCTTCCTTCCTCCCTTCCTTCCTTCCTTTGTTCCTTCGTTCCTTCTTTCCTTCCTTCCTTCCTTTCTTTCTCTACACTCCAGTGACCAGACATTATATAACTTAATATATGATTATCCCAATTCATCCCACACCTATCCAGCACCACTTCTACTTATTAGGATATTATTGACTATATTCCCTATGCTGTACTTCACACCCCCATGACTATTTTTTATTGCCATTTTATTGTTCAGATTTTTTCTTCTTAAATAAGATTCCATTTCATATAATACTGGTTTGATGGTAATGAACTCCTTTAGCTTTTTCTTGTCTGTGAAACTCTTTATCTTCGATTATAAATTGCTAGAAGCCCATTGCACAAAATTTGTGCACGGGTAGGGTCCCTAGCGGCTGCTAGCTACCAGCTGCTGGCTGGGGCCTTCCTTCGTTCCACACCACCCCCTGGTGGTCAGCACACATCATAGTAAGCAATTGAACTCCCAGTCAGTCGAACTCCCAAGGGGACACTTTGCATATTAGGCTTTTATATATATAGACTAGAGGCCCAATGCATGAAATTCATGCAAGGGGGAAGGGGGATCCCTCAGCCCGGCCTGCATCCTCTTACAATCTGGGACCCCTTGGGAGATGTCGGACCTAAACTGGCAGTAGGACATCCCTCTCACAATCTGGGATGCTGCATGCACCAGTGACTGTACTTTTCATACAGGTGAAAGGCATCTTGCTGTTGAATGGGCAGTTACATTTTTTTTGCCCTGATTATAAAAAGTAGTACATAACATGATCCTTCTGAGACAGTAGTACCATTTCCCCCCTTTTATGGGTGGAAAAACTGAAGCAGAGAAAAGTTAAGTAATTGGCTTTGTCACATAGTTATAAGTGTCAGAATCAGGGCTGACCACAAAATGTGCAAGCCAGAGTCCATGCATGTCATCGCTGCATCTTGTTTTTTCAGTGTTAGAGTGGCCTTGCCAGGTTTTAATGTTTAAATATAAGAGACTGTTCCCAATATATAGGGTAGGGCCCCTAGGCCTGGCTGGAGATCAGGGCCATCTGTAGGGCAACCAGCGGGCAGCCAGCGGGCAGGGCATTCGGGGGGGCCCCTCTAGCACCTGCCTTGGCTGGCGACCTGGCGCCGCCCACTGGTCAGCCCTGCCCCCCAATCGCCACCACCAGTCGTCTCCTCAGGGGGCAGGAGCTGCCCCAGTTGGGGCAGTGCGTGTCATAGCGACCGGTCATTTCACCGGTCATAGTGCTGTTTGGTTGATTTGCATATTAGGGTTTTATTAGATAGGATAGCTTTGCAGAGTAAAGTAATCTTGGTTGTAGGTCCTTGCTTTTCATTACTTTGAATAGTTCTTTCACTCCCTTATGACCTGCAAAGTTTCTGTTGAGAAATCAGCTGACAGTCATATGGGAGCTCCCTTGTAGGTAACTAACTGCTTTTCTTTTGCTGCTTTTAAGATTCTCTGTTTGTCTTTAATATGTTAAGCACCCACCCTGTTTTGTCTTCTGGACAGAAAGTATAGTGTCAGTCACCGGTGACTGACATGGGGCTTAACATGTTAACCTTTTGCATTTTAATTATAATGTGTCCTAGTGTGGACCTTTTTGAGTTCATCTTGTTTGGGACTCTCTGCACTTCCTGGACTTGTATGTCTCTATCCTTCACCAAGTTAAGGGAGTTTACTGTCATTACTTTTTCCAAATAAGTTTTGAATTTCTTGCTCTCTTTCTTTTCCTTCCGGTACTCCCATGATGTGAATATTGGTACACTTGAAGTTGTTCCAGAAGTTTCTTACACTAGCCTTATTTTTTGGATTCCATTTTCTTTACTTTTCTGTTCTGATTGGGTATTTTTTGCTTCCTTATATTCCAAGTCACTGATTTGATTCTCAGCTTCATCTATTTTACTGTTGATTCCCTATAAGTTATTCTTTATTTCAGTTAGTATAGCCTTCATTTCTAACCAGTTCTTTTTTATGTTGTTGAGATCCTCTCTTAAGTTCCTTGAGCATCCTTATAACCAGTGTTTTGAACTCTGCATCCAGTAGATTGCTTATCTCCATTTTGTTTAGTTCTTTTTCTGGAGTTTTATTCTGTTGTTTCATTTGGGCCATGTTTCTTTGTCTCCTCATTTTGGCTACCTCCCTGTGTTTGTTTCTATGTATTAGGTAGAGCTACTATGTCTCCAAGGCTTGGTAGAGTGGCCTAATGCAGTAGGTCTCCTGTAGGGTCAAGTGGCATAGCCTCCCTGATCACCCCAGCTGGGCACTCGAGGTGTACCACCCCACCCCTGCCCCATATGAGCTTTACACCCTCATGTTTTAAGTTGAGTTTTGATTGCTGTTGACACATCAATGGGAGGGATTGACCCAGACCAATCTGCTCCAAGGATTGGCCATGACCACTGACCAACAACCTCCATCCACCTTGGAGGATCAACTGCAGGGACCTACCACATAGAGCATGACTTACTTCAGCAAGGCTCTGGTACCCACTGAGTCCACCCCTGAGTGCTTCACCTATGGAGGTTGTTGTATGCTGGTGCTACGACATGGTCTGAAGCCATCCACTGGGTGTGCTGGCTCTGGGGCCTTCTGGAAGGTGCAGGCTATGTTCAGCCACTACCTGTGTTCTGCCCAGGTCCACTAGGTATAAACTACAAAGCAATCTGCAGATGGCTGCTTCTGGTGCTGGGCTTAGAGTTGCCCAGGGGAGGCTATACTGTGAATCAAGGCTGGCTAGTACTAGTGCTGGGCTTGGGCTGTTTAACTAAAGGTATGGGACCTGCTGAGGCCAGATGTTGCTTGTTTGAGAGATTTTATGGCCATTCCTATGATAAAGCCACTGGAAATAGGTTGGGTGGGGTGGGGTCTCAGGGAATCAGCAGGTTGGGCCAAACAGTGTGAGCCAAGTTGATGGAGTCTCAGATATGACACCTGTCTGCTGGCTCTGTGGGGCAAAGGGGCTCATCAAAGGAACAATGGCTTCTTTATTTTTCTTTTTTTAAAAAAACAAAACAAAACAGCACTGTGGTTCACAGGACAGCTGTGTATGCTTTTTTTAAAAAAATATATTCATTGATTTTTTTTAAAGAGAGGAAGGGAGAGGGATAGAGAGCCAGAAACATCAATGAGAGAGAAGCATCGACCAGCTGTCTTCTGCACACCTCCTACTGGGGATGTGCCTGCAACCAAGGTACATGCCCTTGACTGGAATCGAACCTGGGACCATCTTGTCCCCAGGCTGACGCTCTATCCAGTGAGCCAACTGGCTAGGGCAGGAACAATGGCTTCTGCCAGTACTTCTATCTGGGAGAAAGTTGCCCCACCAGATCTCACCTAGATGCCAAACAATTCAGTCCCTTTCATATGTCTCTGGTGCCTTTCAAACTGCTGTCCCTGTGCTGGAACTCAGAGGGAGTGAGTCCAAGTAACTCTGTGTGGGGCCCTTTCAAAGGAACTGCCTAGGGCTCTAGCAGCTTGACCCTCACTCAGCCTCAATTTCCACTGGTTTTTACATCCAGAAGTTATAGGGACTTCTCTTCCTGGGACTAGAACCCTGGGCTGGGGTGGGGGTGGGGGGCCTGGTGTGGGACTGGGACCCCTTGCTCCTTAGGAGAACCTTCATAGCCTAGGTATTCCTCCTGATTTTTATCCATCACACATGGGGTTGGGACTAGCCTATTCTGCAACTCTGTCCTTCCTACCAGTCTCGTATAGCTTCTTCTTTAATTTCGTAGTTGTAAAACTTGCATTCAGCTTAATTTAAGAGGGTTCTGAATGATAGTTGTTCTGTAGTTTAGTTGTAATTTTGATGTTGTTTTGGGAGGAGATGAGCACCATATTTACCTATGCCACCATTTTGACGGAAGTCTCAGGAGGTAGATTTTTGATGGTCAGTACAGCTTGTAGAGTATTAAAAGATATGTTGTTGGTTTTTAAAGTATATTATCTAAGCCCAGCCAGCATGGCTCAGTGGTTGAGCGTCGACCTATGAACCAGGAGGTCAGGGTTCGATTCCTGGTCAGGGCACATGCCTGGGTTGTGGGCTCGATCCCCAGTGTGGGGTATGCAGGAGGCAGCCAATCAATGATTATCTCTCATCATTGATGTTTCTATCTCTCTCTCCATCTCCCTTCTTCTCTGAAATCAATTGTTTTAAAAAGGTATATTATCTGAGACTTTTCCAAGTGGTAATCGGCATAAAGGACATTACTTCTCTGGGGAAAATGCCTTCCTAGATCTTGAACAAGTCGAAGCAAATTTTTCTAATAAAATTAAGTCCTTACTTGGAACTTAGCTCTACGAAATGATAGTCTCTATGAGGATCAAGGTTCTGTTCTACTTCTTTTATGCATCTTAGCATCTATATGGTGCCTTGACAATAATAAGCTTTCATATTTGGTGAATTAAATTGGCTAGAACTTAGTTTACATTAAGAAAAAAGTTGCAAAGAGCAAGAAATATTTAATTATTTGACAAGGAAAGCTTAAAATTTTTCTATCATGTGAGATTTCTATGGACAAGCAAACATTATTTTTTTACAAAAGTGAAAGCATTAACTTATCTTTCGATGTATTAATCCTGACCATGCATGTAGTATCCTAAGAGCAATGAAGATGCTAATAGTATAAATTCGAAATGCTCTGAACAAACAAAAAATTAAGAATTGGTGTGGGCAAGTAGAAATAATAAAAGAATAACATTATTTTTTTCATTGTGAGTTTGCTGAGAAAAGCTATGTTTAATGTTTAATTTGCAAGTATGACCAGTTTACTTATTTATTTATTTGGAAGCAGCATTTAAAAGAGGACTTTATTTCCCCATGTTTGTTTCTGGAAAATAACACTTTAAAAATCTGTTTACTTAGGACTTCCCAAGATTGTTCTTTCCTATTTCCATTGCATTAGGCATTTACTCATGCAGTCAATAAATACTTTCAGGCATCTAATAACATCCTAGTAGAGGAGACAGACATTAATCAAATAATCACACAAATAAATGTAAATTTTCAGCTATGGTAAGTATCATGAATAAAAGTTACATATAAAGCATATATAAAATATATGTAACATTACATAAAAGTACACGTAGACTTGAAGCAATGATTGGTCCTGCAAATAAAAGTAAGATGGCTATCTTACTGCCCTGGTCAGGGAGTTTGGAGAAGGCTTCCTTGATGTAGTGGGAATTGAGCTGAGCTCTGAAAGATGAGTAGGAATTAATTAGGTAATCAGGTGAGGGAGAGCATTTCATGTAGAATTAACGTGAAAAAAACTGTGGCTGCAGGAAGCATTGTTCCTATTAGGTCCTGAAGGAAGCCCAGGATTGTTGGGTTGGAGGGAGTAAGAGGGATATAGTAGATGAGAATGGAGAGGTAGCATCGGTCAGATATCAAGATCAGATATTAGAACCTTGTAGACTTCAGAAAGGATAGTTATCTTTATCCCAGAACAATGAAGAAACATTAAAATACAGAGGTCCACCCGGCCAGTGTGGCTCAGTTGATTGGGTGTCATCCCGTGCACCAAAATTTGCAAGCTTGATCCCTGGTAGAGGGCATTGCAGGAGGCAGCTGATCAATGTCTCACTCACATGGATGTCTGTCTGTCTCTCTCTCTCTCTCTCTCTCTCTCTCCCCCTCCCTCTCTCCTCTCCCCCCCCCCCCACTCTCTAAAAATTAAATAAAAATACAGAGGACCAAGATCTAAATTCTAGAAAGTTATGCATCCCACTCCTGCAGATATCTTTTACTGGGTATTTATGTCATATTCATTTCAGTGTTATTTTACTACAACTTACTGTCCTTTTTTAACACACCCCCCCCCTAGAAAAATGCTGGGGTCCAACCCCAGCAAGTCCAGGGGTCCCCAAAGGTGTGGACGGAGCCGGCGAAGAAGGAATGACACAGAGACAGCCTTCAGTTGATCAGCAGCCTAGTCAGGACCTCTAGCCAGGAACTCCAGCCAAATTCTGGTTAGGAACTCCAGCCAGTCTCTGGGTTAGGGATCTGATGAGGATCTGATGTTTATTGGTCTTGTTACATCCGTATTTATACCAGCCGATTTTAATCCTGTCAATTTCTATACAAAGGTTAGGGCGTTTCTTATCTCCATTCCAGGGAGTAAAGATTATGTAGCTTAACTACCCACCTGGCACTTAATTAAGGGGTTGTATCCCCTCCCTAACCTCAGGGAAAAATCCCCACCTGGGGAAACAACCTTTCTCAGAGAGGTGACCTTGGTTAAAACACATGGCACTAAGGAGAGCAAACACATTAAGAACAATATGCTATATATGCCAGGTCCCTTGAAACATATGCTGTGCAGATGTTTCTTTCCTGCAGCGACTGTGTCAAGCAGCAAGGATGGACCGGCTTCCGGCAGAAAAACACCTGTATTATGGGCAGAAATAAATCACAAGATGTTCACCTGGCATTCTGGTGTTCACAAGAGTCATATATCACAATGAGGCAATGTTTAATGAGGAATTTTAAAAGTATTTAAAAGAGGCCTCACAAACTATAGGGTAATTGATAAATTTGTTTTAATTCATGTGAAGTCAAGGAAAGTATGTTATATGTGTCCAGAAAAGTTTGCATCAGAGAAAATGGTGAGAGTATCAAAGTTTAATTTTTCTTTTATAAAAGTAAATGTGATATATATTTTTATCATATACCTATTGTTTGTGCTCTGCTGTGCTGTTAGGTGCTATACATACACTTAACAATTAATATTTAAGTATTTTGTTAAGTAGGTATTATTAGTGGAAGTAGATATTGTAGTTGTTATTTTATTTTATTTTATTTTTTTAATATTTTTATTGATTTCAGATAGGAAGGGAGAGGGAGAGAGAGAAACATCTATGATGAGAGAGAATCATGGACCGGCTGCCTCCTGCACGCCCCCTACTGGGGATCGAGCCTGCAACCCAGGCGTGTGCCCTTGACCGGGAATCGAACCCGGGACCCTTCAGTCCACAGGCTGACACTCTATCCACTGAGCCACACCGGCCAGGGCTGTAGTTGTTATTTTATAGCTGAGGAAACCAAACTTGGGATCTACAATTCAAGGTCAGCTCTGACTTCAAAGTTCAAGGTAATCCTACACTTTCACACTTATTTCCTATAATTTACAGGTTGCAGTTTCTTCAAAGGGGATACAGAATTCTGGGGACACTCCTGAGATGTCAGTCAGTCACCAAAAGGAAGTCACAGTGGAGAACATGGAAAGTCCAGGGATTATGTCAACTCGTTCTCCTGCTGGCATTTCTTGGAGTTGTGGAGCATCTTGGGAGGACTGCAAAACACATGACACAGAGCAAGACTTGGAGTGCTTACAACCTCTGGAAGAGGATATGGCTTTAAATGAAGTTTTACGGAAATTAAAACATACTAACAAAAAGCAGCAAACTCTGATCCAAAATTTGCAGTGTACTAACATGTATTTAGAGAAGAAAGTTGAAGAACTACAGGTGAAGACTAACAAGCAGCAAGTGTGCGTTGGCATCATAAATAAGCTAAAGGAGAATATCGAGGCATTAATTGAAGACAAATACAGAGTAATGCTAGAGAAGAATGAAACTGATAAGACTTTGCAGAATTTGCATGACATTTTAATTAACACCCAAAGACATCTTCAGGAATCTAGGAAAGAAAAGGAAACCTTACAAGTAGAGCTTAAGAGGACCAAGGAAAATTATGTTTGTCTACAGGAAAGGTATATAAATGAAACGCAAGAAAAAAACAAAATTGTTAGTCAGTACACAGAGGTGAACAAAGCCTTAAGCAAGAAAGAAGAAGAGGTGGAGAGGCTGCAGCAACTCAAAGGAGAGTTGGAAAACGCCACCACTTCTGCTTTGGACTTATTGAAAAGGGAAAAAGAGTCCCGAGAACAAGAGTTCCTGTCTTTACAGGAAGAATTTCAGAAACGTGAAAAGGAAAACATGGAAGAAAGACAGAAACTGAAATGTAGACTTGAGAAACTGGTAGCTCAATTTAAAAATGTGCAATTCATATCTGAAAGTGAAAGGGCTAAGAATACAAAACTTCAGCAGCAAATCAACGAAGTAAAAAGTGAAAATGCAAAACTTCAGCAGCAGGTTGCCAGGAGTGAGGAGCAAAATTGTTTCCCTAAATTTGAGATAGCTCAGTTAAAGGAGCACTTGGAGGCAATAATGAAGTCAGATATCACAAAGGTATTGTCACAAATTCAAAATCTCTAAGGCAGAATTTCAGGAGTTTGTAATAGTCTGGTGATGCATATTAAGGCATGACACAAAAATTTTTTTTGCAGAATTACTAACCAAAAAAGAGAGAATGGAAAATGCACCAGATTTGGAAAAGTTTCTTTGGTTCTTGGGTACTCGCATTAAAGAGCAGCCATTTCTGGCCTCTTGTTATTATTTTGGTAAATATGAAAATGAATGTGGGAATTTTTGTGGATACCTCTGACCAATCATCTGAAAAATTCTTTTTTTTTAAAATATATTTTATTGATTTTTTTACAGAGAGGAAGGGAGAGAGATAGAGAGTTAGAAACATCGATGAGAGAGAAACATCGATCAGCTGCCTCCTGCACACCTCCTACTGGGGATGTGCCCGCAACCCAGGTACATGCCCTTGACCGGAATCAAACCTGGGACCTTTCAGTCTTCAGGCCGACGCTCTATCCACTGAACCAAACCGGTTCTAGCTGAAAAATTCTTTGAGAAAGGATTTTTCTAATGGGGATCTCAATCTTTTCATACCATGTCTGCCTATTCAACAATAAAAGTAAATAGTATAATTGCATATTTAGTTTACATGCTAAAACAAACCTATATTTTATCATATTAATTTTGTAGAATTATAAACATTTTAGTGAGATATAATTGATACATAACATTAGTTCAGGTGTACAACATAATGATTCGATATTTGTATACATTGCAAAATGATCACCACAGTAAGTTCAGTTAGCATCAGTTAAAAACAGCATGGGAGCCTCACATCAATATTTTTTGGAGGGGCTGTACTTTGGTATTCTTTGCTATTCAAATGGCTTTTTTGACAGTCAGGAACCTGGAAGCATGTCCTGGAAGTGATAATTTCATAAGACATAGCAACTATTTCAGTTTTGTAGGGCTACCTTAAAATATTTATAATACGATCTTATTAACTCTGACTATTTGGAAAGAAGGCTGATCTGAATGAGAAAAATGTATATTTTTGTTTTTGTTATAATAACTTAAACTGAGCTGATATGTTGCCTTGAAGATGTCCTGAGTGGACATTACATAGTGTTTGCAAGTAAATAATTCTATATTTTAAATGATTCTTAGGAAGACATTTTCTCTGTTTAAAAAATTTTCTCTATGATCTTTTCTTCAGAAAGAAGTAAGAATCATCTAAGCCAGTGGTTCTTAAACTTTAGCATTCATCAACATCAGCTGTGAAAATGCAGATTGTTGGGGCCCACTCCAGAGTTTCTAATTCAGTGGGTGTGTGGTGGGGCCTAAGAGTGTGCATTTATAATGAGATCTTAGGTCTTACTGATGCTGCTGGTCCAGGGATCACACTTTGAGAACCACTAACCTAAGCAAAAATTACCTTAAGTTAGCTGCTAATCAAATCATGACAAATTTTAAATTGGTAAACTCTGAATGAATTAGTGTAACTGTACAGAAGTGTATCACAGCATATGATTTTTTCCCCTTGAGCTTTCTTTTTAAAAACAGTAAACTTTTTTGTTTTATCTTGACTGATCAATTTCTTTTTATTAACTCTATGTCCATTTTCTCCTTTTAGTTTTGCTTTTTATTAACTCTATGTCCATTTTCTCAAAGTATGGTCTGGGTGTATCTGTGAGGTCAAAAATATTTTCATAGTACTATTTCAAAGATTTTATTGCCTTGTTCACTCTCATTTCTTCACAAGTATACCGTGGGGATTTCCAGAAACTAAATGACATGTGATGTAATTGTTTCCATGGCTGACACAATGTGTGACGCAAATATAAGAATTCAGCTGCCTTCTACTAAGCCAGCATTAAAAGTATTCAAAAAAAAATGCAACAGACCCAATCATTTTTTAAATATATTTTTATTGATTTTTTACAGAGAGGAAGGGAGAGGGATAGAGAGTTAGAAACATCGATGAGAGAGAAACATCAATCAGCTGCCTCCTGCACACTCCCCTACTGGGGATATGCCTGCAACCAAGGTACATGCCCTTGACCGGAATCAAACCTAGGACCCTTCAGTCTGCAGGCGGATGCTCTATCCACTGAGCCAAACCGTGTAGGGCCAGACCCAATCTTTTCACTAATTTTTGTTTTGGAAAATGTGGTAATTAAAAAGAAATTGTTATTTATATTGACACAATAGATTTATTGTTATTGAAAAGAAATATTTTTAAATGTCTCACCTTTAATTTCTAATATGGTAAATATTGATAGATATAACCTACATAAACAAAATGTTTTTGAGATCCTTAGTAATTTTTAAGACTATTTAAGGGGTCCTGAAAATAAAAATGTTTGAGAACTGCCATTTAGAGGTTTTAGGAGTGGTGTTTTATTCAGCATTTTACTTTTAAAGTAATCCAGGTTCTTTGTCTTTATTGTGACAAATCTGAATTGTGCACACACATAGGATGCGAAGATGATGCAGTCTAATTGCTCACCTTGTAAAGAAGAGAGCCCAAATCCCCCAGATGTGAAAACGACTTCTCAGCCGCCTTTCAAAATTCACTATCTTCTGGCTCTGATGGCAAGACTTCTCACATGCCAGGTAATTTTTTTAATGCATATTTTTTATTGGGTAGGGAGGAAAATACCAAGGTTAGACAAAAGAGGCAATGTGAAGTGACAGAATTAAGTTATGAAAGAAATTAATGACAACAGAATAGAGACCCTTAACCAACCAATCAGCTTTTTCTTCCTCCTACTGCTTCTTTCTGTTTATCTTTTGTCAACATCTAATTTCCACAAGCCTATAGTATAGTAACATTAGAACTTCTCATGTTTCAGGAAAGCTCTTTCAGAACAGTAGTCTTATATTCTGGGTCAGCCTGCTCCTAGGGATTAGTGATTGTTCACATTAATGAGCTATTTACCCAATCTAAAAATATAGCTTTGGAGCAGGGGGAGGGCAGTGTGGAACTGTGTCCATTAGTAGATTGAAAAATGAAGTTAGTGTAAGGTGAGTTCGAATTCTGGCTTCACCACTTGCTGGCTGTGTGACTTGGCCAAGTAACTTTACCTTTCTCAGCCTTAGTTTCCTCGTGGTAAATGGGGGAAATGATACTTGCTGCTGCCCTGGGAGCTTACAAGCACTACATTTAATGAGAGAACATATTAAAGGACATGACACTTGATAGTTTCTCAAATTAGCTAGCTCTCTTTCTTCCACTTACCTTCTATTATTGTATAATAGAGGGCCGGTGCACGAAATTCATGCACAGGGCTGGAGGGGAGTGTCCCTCAGCCCGGCCTGCACCCTTGCAATCCGGGACTCCCTCAGACATCCCTCTCACAATCTGGGACCACTGGCTTCTAACCGCTCACTTGCCTGCCTGATCACCCCTAACCACTCTGCCTGCCTGCCTGATCACCCCTAACCACTCTGCCTGCCTGTTTCATCACCCATAACTACTCACCTGCCTGCCTGATCGCCCCTAACTGCTTGCCTGCCTGCCTGAGCACCCCTAACTACTCTGTCTGCCTGCCTCATCACCCATAACCACTCACCTGCCTGCCTCATCACCCCTAACCACTCGCCTGCCTACCTGACCACCCCTACCCACCTCTGCCTCAGCCCCCGCCCCACCGCGACTTTGTCAAGAAGGATGTCTGGAATGACGTCTGGAAGGTCAGTTGGCTGTCTGGTCTAATTAGCATATTATGCTTTTATTATTATAGATTTCTTTGATCTTAAGTGCATTCATCTGAGCCCAAGTTTGATGACATAGGTTTGTGATGCTCCTGATCCAACACAAGCTTTATTTCTATTTTGTTTCAGCTAAATTGTTAGATATTAGCATTTATTTAATGGTAGATAATAAGCTAAGCATTTTATCTAGAGATCAAAAAGTGGTGGCCCACAAACTACCAGTATATCTATCTAAAGTTTTGTTTTTAAATATTGGAATTTGACTGTGGCACAGACTCTCCTTGGCTGTAAACCTTTTCTCCCCACCTTGCCCTTCAAACATTTGCTTATTCACTGTATTTGCTTAGTTTTCTCTCATCTCGCTGATGGCTGCTGTTCTTTCTCAGTCTTAATTTGCTAGCTGCTGCGTCTCTACCAGACCTCTCAATAATGAAGTATAGATCTTTTTAGTAGATTCATTCCATGCTATACAAATACTATTTGCTTATTCAGTATCTCCCACCCCAATAGGACATACGCCTTCAAGATTAGAGACTTGGTATGCTGTATGTCCTTTACCTAATACAGGTTAAGCTCCTAATACACTCAAAAAATATTTGCAGACTTCCCAACCTGTCCTTGTACTGTTCCTGCTTTTCATGGCTTATCTCTTACACCATTCTTTGTATTATTAGGCTTTTTTTAAAACATGAAAAACAAACAAAGGTTTAGAATAGTTGAGTTTCTTGTCTAAACTCTCACATGTGATAAAGTGACAGAACTCAGGCAGAACACAGGCATGCACTTGTGACCCTTAGGTTATTTTGGTACAAGTGCCTTCATTCTGGGTACTGTGGAAATATGGAGAGGTTCAGTATTGTTGAGGATATCTGATTATTTTGGTTTTAGTTACAAAAATTTGTCTAAAATTTGGGTTTGTAAACTCACTAGGCTAAGAGGGTTATATGTATGAATGCATGAGCATGTATAATTATTATAAGCTAGAGGCCTGGTGCACAAAAATTTGTGCACTCTCGGGGGGAGGGGGGTCCCCCAGCCCCGCCTATGCCCTCTCTCAGTCTGGGACCCCTTGGGAGATAACGACCTGCTGGCTTAGGCCTGCTCCCGGGTGGCAGAGGGCAGGCCCAATCCCTAGGTGCAGCCCCTGGTCAGGCTCAGAGCAGGGCCGATTGGGGAGTTGGGGCGCCGCCCCCTGTCATGCACAGAGCAGGGCGGATCTGGAGGTTGCGATGCCACCCTCAGTCATGCTCAGGGTGGGGCCGATTGGGGGGTTGGGGCACTGCCCCCTGTCACACTCAAGGCAGGGTCAATGGGGAGGTTGCAGCGCCACCCCCTTTCACACACACAGAGCAGGGCCGATCAGGGGGTTGGGGCGCTGCCCTCTGTCACTCACAGAGCAGGGCCCATCAGGGGGGTTGGGGCTCCGTACCCTGTCACTCACAGAGCAGGGTCGATCAGGGGATTGGGGAGCTCCCCCCTGTCACGCACAGAGCAGGGCCCATCAGGGGGTTGAGGAGCTCTCCCCTGTCACCCACAGAGTAGGGCCGATAGGAAAGTTGGGGCACCGCCCCCTGTCACACACAGAGTAGGGCCGATCAGGGGGTTAGGGCGCTGCCACTGTCACAATCAGGACAGGGCCAATGGAGAGGTTATGGCTCTACCCTGTCACACACAGAGCAGGGCCCGTGGGGGGGGCGGGGTTGGGGCGCCGCACCCTGTCACACACAGAGCAGGGCCGATCAGGGTGTTGGTGCGCTGCACCCTGTCAAACACAGAGCCACAGGGCGATCAGGGGGTTGGGGAGATCCCCCCTATCAGGCACAGAGCAGGGCTGATCAGGGGATTGGGGCGCCTTCCCCTGTCACAAACAGAGCAAGGCAGATAGGGAGGTTGTGGCCCCGCCCCCTGTCACACACTGAGCCGCAGGGTGATCAGGGGGTTTGGGCGCTGCCCCCTGTCATGCTGATCCTGGTGCCGGGAGGCCTTGCGGCTCCTCTGATCCCGGTGCTGGGAGGCATATTACCCTTTTACTATATAGGATAGAGGCCTGGTGCACGGGTGGGGGCCGGCTGGTTTGCCCTGAAGGGTGTCCTGGATCAGGGTGGGGGTCCCCATTGGGGTGCCTGGCCAGTCTGGGTGAGGGGCTGATGGCTGTTTGCATCTGGTCACACACCCTTCAGGGTGGGGGTCCCCAATGGGGTGCCTGGCCAGTCTGGCTGAGGGGCTGAGGGCCGTTTTCAGGCTGGTGGGTGACTGAAGCTCCCAACTGCTCCTTTTTTTCTTTTTCTTTTTTTTTTCTGGGCCAGCTTTAGCTCTGAGGCCTCGCTGCTGAAAGCAGGTTTCTGGCCTTTACCTTCTGTATTTGATACAATGTTGCGGTCCGGCTGGCTGAAGCCCGGCTGAATAAAGCAGGTTTCTGGGGTTTTGTTTAGCTTCTATATTTGCAACATAGTTGCTTAGAGTTGCAGCTGAGAGGCCGGCAAGTCAGGCGGGGAACGTTGGAGTCCGCAGTCACTGGAGCAAACAAGCCTCCCTGTTCGCTTCAGTGCATGGCTGCCGGCCGCCATCTTGGCTGACAGTTAATTTGCATAAGGACATTCTGATTAGCCAATGGGAAGGGTAGCGATCGTACGCTAATTAAATTACCATATTTCTCTTTTATTAGTGTAGAAGAAGATGAGTATTAATATCCCAATGATTATATAAATCTGTCCTAATAGCAATCTATGTATGAGTATAAATCTATATGAACTCTTTCTACACTAACTCTTTATTGAATATCTTTTGAGTAATTAAAGAATTGAGTTAAAAAAATCAAGTTCAATATCATTTTACCTCCTTTGGTTTGGTCACTTATTTGGGGAGAGAGATTTGTTTCATTGTGTTTTTTCCTTCCTTCTTTTAGTTTTACTGAAAAAAAATATTAATCTAGCTTCTCAAACTGTTGTCTTTAGGATATCAGCAATACTGATGCTGAACATTTCAAAGAGAGTGAGAAAGTTAGTGATACAATGCTGCAAAAATTGAAGAACTTTCATCTTAAAAAGAAAAATTTAGATGAAGAGGTACTGTATATATTCTTTATTCTAAAAATTATATCACCCTGGCTAGGTAGCTCAATTGGTTAGAGTGTTGTTCCAATACACCAAGGTTGCAGGTTTGATACCCAGTCAGGGCACATACAAGATCAACCAATGAATGTATAAATAGTGAAGCAACAAATCATTCTCTTTTCCTATCTTTGTCTTCTTCACTCTCTCCCTCTCCCTCCCTCCTCTCTCTAAAATCAGTCAATAAAATTTAAAATAATACTAATAATAGCCCTGACCAGGTGACTCAGTTAGTTGGAACATTGTCCCCTACACCAAAAAGGTTACAAGTTTAATTCTCGGTCACGGCACATATTCTAGTTGTGGGTTTGATCCCAGGTCTGTGTATATGCAGGAGACAGTTGATCAATGTTCCTCTCTCATCTCTCTCTCTCTCTCTCTCTCTCTCTCTCTAAAATCAATAAAAATATATCCTTGTGTGAGGATTTAAAAAATAATAAAAATTACACCATTTTTAGTGAAAAAACAGTCAAAGTAAAACGTAGCATAAAATAGAAATGAATTTCTAA